CCCCCCCCTCCACACACACACACCAGAGAAGGAGCTCCTGGAGTCACTGGAGTAGAGATGAAGGTTGTCCTGGCCAGGAATGTACACGTGGGGGCTGGGCAGATCAGAGCCTTGTTCTCTATGGTGCCGAACAGAGAATGTTCCTCCACCCTGGAATGACTGTTCCTGGACAGTGAGTGCTTTGTGCCCTTGGAGGGACAGAGCCTGTTTACTCCGGCCCAGCCCCAGAGCCGAAAATTTCCTGTGGCTGCCAGCCCTCTGCTTCAGGAAAGTTCCCATACAGGGAGCCAGGCCTCCTACTTTGGCTACAGCCCCAGTGTGACTGGTTTCTTGTGGGACATTTGGCCCCTTGGGATCAGCAGGGCCTTCTGGCCATGGCATCCTTTCTCTCATGCTCCCACAGCCAGCACTCTCCCCTATCACAGATCAGTCTTTTTTATGACTTTACCTGTGCCTACTTCAGCTGGGACCAGAAAAGCAGAAACTTCCCCAAGAATTTTCTTGTCTGCCAAGAGCTATGGAGGCTTCCTAGGATGAAGAGCGAAAGCTAGGGAAACAGATCTGTGCCAGCGCTCTCTGGCAGCAACAAGGCCAGCCACTGCCTGCTCCCCGCAAGCCCAGGGCCCCACCTCAGCCTTGCCCCCACAACCCTTTTCCTTTGGCTCCCCTGAGCACTACTGACAGGACAGGTTCTCCCAGCCCACACAGGGAATGCCCGGCTTGTGGCAACACTGCTTCTGGAGCCAGGCAGTCGGGTTGGCCCTACCACCTGTTAACGGGTGACCCCTGGCAAATCTTCCCTACTTTAAACCTCAGTTGTCTTATCTGTGATTTGGGGCTCAGATTACTACCTCTGGGGAGTCTGATGAAAATGAAATAGGATAGCGACACCCAGCACTTAGACACGTAGGCCCATTCTGCTCCTGTATTTACTGAGCACCAGCTAGGAGCCAGGCACTGTTCTAGGCACTGGAAATGAGACAGGATCACTGCCCTCATCAGCCACCACCAGTGCAGAAGACAAATAAAAAAAAAATGAAAGTGTGGAGGGCCTCTCTGGTGGTTCAGGGGTTAAAAACAGCACTATCAAGCTGTTCCCAGCCACTGCAGAGAGTTCATCCCCGGCCAGGGAGCTGCCATGGCCAGGGAGCTGACACACATGGCGCGGCAGACCTCTCCTGTCTCCCCTGCTGCTCCCCTCAGCAGTGTATTTCAGTAGTTCTACCTGTTCTGCTCCCTTCTCACACATCCCCACACCCCTGGCCTGTACCCCAGTTCTTACATGCATAAGTATTAAATCTTTAAATTTTTTAAATAAATAAAGGTATAGAATCTACTTATGAAAAGTGCTAAGAAGAAAGAGAAGGCAAAGTAAGGGAACAGGTAGAACAAGGTGGGTGGGTGCCATTTTGGACAAAGTGGCCAGGGAAGGCCCCTCTGGGGAGATGACATTTGAGCGGTTGGGTGTGAAATAAGGGAATGAGAAGGAGGCGGGGATGGTGGGGATGGATAATCTAGGGTCAGGTGCTCCGGGCATCAGGCAGTAAGCTCCTGAGCTCAGGCGATGTTCAGGGAAAGGCAAGGTTGGCGTGACTCTGCACTGAGAGCGGCCAGCCGCCGCTCAGCCTTACTGACATGGCACAGCATGAGGCTTCATTCCCAGCAGGAGGGAACGCCTGGGGAAGGCTAAAAGGTTGGGGTGTCTCTGTCTTTCCCTGCCTGCCAGTTTCCCCGTTTCTCTGGTGTGTGGTCTCTGTGGCCTCCCTCCGGCATCATAAATGTTGTCAAGGTGGCAAGGATATGAACAGAAGTGGCCCTGGCTGTCCAGGTACAAGGAAGAACTGGTGAAAGACAGGCACCTGGGTGCTGTGACCTCAGGGCATCATCGAGACTAAAGTGGGGCCAGGCTGCTGTCACAGTGAGCGCCCTGAGCCCACATCAGAAGCCAGACCCTGTCTGAGGGAGCAGCCACCACTCCACCCGTTGGAACCAGGTGGAATTGCAGCCTGAGGAGAGCTCTGTGGAGGCGCCAGCTCAGCGCTCTGGGACCTGCCAGTGCCCCATTCGCCCCTAGACACAGGCACTTACTTCTACAGCCTGGATTGGGTGCTGGTTTCATCACTGACCAAACTGGGTGGTCAATCCTTTGACCCCAAAGAACCAACTTCCTAGTTGATAAATGAGTGTAGACAGCCTGAATTGCAGTGCTGTTGATAGGATTAAATGACAAAGGGGGTGCAAAGCTTACTCATTCAAGACAAGCTCCATCTGGCCAAGGTTTTGCCTTGGGCTGGCTAACTGACCCACCGCCCCTGTATCACATGCTTCCCTGGATCATGCGCTTCCCTCCTGACTAGCTTCATGGCAGAGGGCTGTTGCTCACCTCCTCCTGGGCCTGGAGTCACGTCCTGGGTGGGGGGCAGGGGCCAGGCCTCACAGACCCCATCCCAGACCTGCATCTTGCAGCTTCTCAGCCCACCTTTCAACCCGCTCTGGCCAAGGGCTCCCTCCAGAGGAAGAAGGCACCAGACCCTCTGCCCTGACCCACTCTGGGCTTTTCCCCCTGGCCCTTGGCCCTCCCTCCTGCTGGCCCCAAACAGCCCTCCCGCTTGGCCCAAACCCCCCTGTGGCCCCCAGGCCACACATTGCACAGAGCCCTGCCCCTGCCCTTCTCCTTCCCTCCTTGGGCTCTGGAGCGCCACTCCCTAGCGCTCACTTCAGCCAGCTCTTGCCTGCTCCTGCACCTGTTCCCTCAGCACTGTGATGACTTGGCCACCCCATTTTCTGGACCCCCCCCAGAGAGTATGCAGAAAGAAAACAGTCCTTGGCTCACCCTAAGTGGGTGCAGAGGGCTGCAGTTCACAGTCACCCAAGAGGCTGTCTGCAGGTGGCCCCTCCCCCCCCCCCCCCCCCACTCCTGTTTAGCACTCAGACGCCATCTTCCTTCTCTCTCCCTCCAGGACACTTTTGTGGAACTCTATGGGAACAATGCGGCAGCCGAGAGCCGGAAGGGCCAGGAACGCTTCAACCGCTGGTTGCTGACGGGCATGACTGTGGCCGGCGTGGTTCTGCTGGGCTCGCTCTTCAGTCGGAAATGACCAGACACTGACCACCCACTCACTCTTCTACCCTCTCCTGCCCCCACCACATCCTCCATCCAGCCACCATTGCCACCAGGAGAACCACTACACGCAGCCCACAGCCACCTATCCACCCATCACAGGGTTGGGCCTAGACCTGGTCCCTAGCAATTAGTTTTCTAGAATATACCATGCTTCTGTGAGAGCCGTCCTCCCCCACACTTCAGTTCTCCTGTCCTCAAAACCCACAGTTTCCCCCAAATCTGCCCCGTGGAAGCTGGCAGGCGTGGGGTTAGTGGCTGGAGGCTGGAGGGCCCTACCTGATTGGTGGAACCCCCCTTAACCCTTAGCTACCCCAAGAATGCTTTCCTGCCAGGGAGCTGGAGAGTTCTCTGACCTTTTTCCCCAGAAAGAGAGACTAGATTGCCTTCGTTTTGATGTTTGTGGCCTCAGAATTGATCACTTCCTATCCCCCACCCCAGGTCCTGGGTCCCCTTCCTTTTATCCCCACTCCCCAAAGCCACTTAGGGGCCACTTCTGACTATATTAGGGCTTCAGGCTGCTTAGAATAAAGAGACAAGGATCAGAAGTCTCCTCATCTCTGACCTGGCCAAAGGCCCCTCCCCAGTCCCAGTCTCCTCCAGGGGCCTCCGGCTAGAGGCCAGCCCCCCACCCCCCAGGGCAGGGGCTTTAGCTGCAGGAAGCACCCCAGCCAAAGCCTGGGTGGCCCTTGCAGTTCAGCACCATCCCAGTGCCACCACCACCCCCTCCCCTGGCTCCCATGATCTCCACTGAGGGACCAACTGGGCCCAAGACAGGTGCCCTAGAGCTGTTTATGGCCTCAGCTGCCTCACTTCCTGCAGGAGATCAGCCTGTGGCATCTTTGCCTTGGGCTGCTTGCCCATGGGATCCAGGGGTTTAGGGGGACTTGGCCCACAGGTGAAGAGAGCTACAGGGAGCAGCTGTGGAAGCCCCAGGGTCTTCCC